GTTAGGCTTAAATTTTTGGGTTTGTATGATACCCTGGTTTTACGTCTTTTTCCCTGGAGGGTGCGTAACTCTCAGTATCAAATACCATGAGTGATGGAAAAATAAAAGATTCATGCATTTTTCAATATGAATAATTGAAACAAGTAATAAGAATTACAAGGTTGGATGGCTGTGTAAAACCAAAAATTTCCAACAAAATTGCAGATCTTTGGCTATGGCTCCTGCGGCAAGGGACAGGTGGAAGGCACAAAAACTTCCAGGATGAATACACATTGGCCTTTGCTGGAGCAAATCCTGTGTTAACCCTTTGGATGCAGGTGACATGACCATCATGTCATGAAAAAACCTGGCTTGTGGGTTGGATGACGTGAACATGTCGTCACGGGCAAATCTGGCTGCAGGCCGGCTGACACAAACCTGCCATCGTGAGTGTCTCGGCTGTAGGCCGGGGTGATGTAAAGACTCGCCACAGCTGCACAAACCTCTTGGGAGGCTTATTCTACTTATCTGGCAATTTTGTTATCCCCATCAATATACGAATGTGGAATGAAATACTAGGATGTGATTTCCCTACTCAGCATCATATTCCTGGTGCTGTGACCAGCAACACAGATTGTATTACAGAAAATTTAATATTACATAAAAAAATTTAAATGACACAAATAACAAAGTGTTACATAGTTTTCTTTTTCTTGCACAGAATTGTAGAATACCTAGAGAGATGATATGGAGTCTGTGCAAAGAAAAAAGTCTATTCCCAGCTAAAAATGTTTATGCATAAAAAGAATAAATAAATTTGCAAATAGGAGGCATAAGAGGCCTCATACTAGACACACGTGTTCTCGTGTGCCCGGTAGAGCAGCCACTCATGTAAGCCAAATAGCTGGAAGTTGGTGCTGTAACTGCAGTGACGCAACTGGATCCAATGGGTTAATTGCCCAAACCCATTTTCCTATCCAACTGCAATGGCACCTTTCACTTGCACAAATTCAGAGGCATAACAAAGAATATGGGCAGCATTCCCTTTCAACCAGTCTGCAGAGTATGGCACATTTAGATGAGATCTCCGGTGTGCACCGCCAAAACGCTCGGTGTGCTGGTGTGCACCACCAGACATTCTGGTGTGCTGGTGTGCACCACCAGACATTCTGGTGTGCTGGTGTGCACCGACAAATTTGCTTTGAACCACCATTTCACTAATAAGAAAGAGCATTCCTTGACTTTTTTCTTTGTTTAATTCATCTAGGTTATTTGAATACAGACACTATATAAGTCCTGAAGTTTATGACCTGTATGAATTAACATGTCGCCATGGCATTAACCCACCTTATTTGATTATTTGTGTCCTTGTGGCATCATTTGTGAAGTGATAGTCAACCTTTAACCCCTTGGTGCCGGGTGACACCGATCAGCGTGCAAAGAAACCGCTCGTAAGCTGGCGTGCAGCCAAACGCCGCGGCGAGCCAGTGATTCGGGTTGATGTCCCCTACTCACGCGCTCAAAGTCGGCGCACCGCCTTTGTTTGCTAGAGCGTAGTTTTTTTTTTGTTTTGTACACCCAGCGTCATTGGGTTAACAAATAAGGATAAATGATTCTGTGTTACTTTGTTTGGTAGGTGATGCAATTGCTATATTAGTATCCAATGCGAATCTCCTATATAGGTTATATAATGGTCATATAATATGAGCAAAGCAGCATTTAATGTCATGTTAATGTCGTAAATATAGCATTTAATGTCATGTTAATGTCGTAAATGTAGCATTTAATGTCATGTTAACGTCGTAAATGCAGCAATTAATGTCATGTCAATGTCGTAAATGCAGCAATTAATGTCATGTCAATGTCGTAAATGCAGCATTTAATGCCATGTCAATGTCGTAAATGCTGCATTTAATGTCATGTCAATGTCATAAATGCAGCATTTAATGTCATGTCAATGTCGTAAATGCAGCATTTAATGTCATGTCAATGTCGTAAATGCAGCATTTAATGTCATGTCAATGTCGTAAATGCACCATTTCATGTCATGTCAATGTCATAAACCTTTAATGTCGCCTTGTCCTAAGGGACAAAAATATCTCCGGTGCACAAGCCATACTCTGGTCTGGCCTTTCAAGGCAGCACTACTCATTTCTCAGTAAGATCAATTGGGTGGACTTTGCAACTAACATATTAGGGACTTACTAATAGACTACAATGGTTATTAAGTCAACTTACTTAACTACAGCAATTGGTTCGAAATACGAGAGGCCAGACAGGTCTTTGCGGCGCGCGAGAGGACCTTCTTTTTCTTCTTCTTTTTCCCTTTATTGGATTTTACACTCTTTCTTCTTCAATGTGATCCTACAACCTTATTCTGCGTCTTCTTTTCTCTTATCTTATAGGATTTTAGGCTGTATTTTGCACTTTTTTTCTGTTTATATTCGCTAGCTCTCTAGAAAAGTCCGGAAAGGAAGGAACACGTGCTTTTGTTTACGGCGTCCGAACGCGCGCCGTGTTCGGATCGCCTGTTTCTTGGCACCGTCGCGTGAGTGCGTGCCTGTGTGCCTGCCCGTCTCTCCCTTCTATATATCTGTAAATACTGTGTGTGTACACACAGCACATGCACATGCACATGCACATGCACATGCATATACACATGCACATGCACATGCACATGCACATGCACATGCACATGCACATGCATATACACATGCACATGCACATGCACATGCACATGCATATACACATACACATACACATACACATGCACATGCACATGCACATGCACACACACACACACACACACACACACACACACACACACACACACACACACACACACACACATATATATATATATATATATATATATATATATATATATATATATATATATTTATACATATATATGCATTCGAATTAGAGATCATTAAACACATACATAAGAGTGAGTGTGTGTGTGTGAGAGAGAGTGAGTATGTGTGTATATATATATATATATGTATATATGCATATATGTACATAAATCTATATATATATATAATATGTGTGTGTGACTATACATACATATATATATAATATATATATATATATATATATATATATATATATATATATATATATATATGTGTGTGTGTGTGTGTGTGTGTGTGTGTGTGTGTGGTGTGTGTGTGTGTGTGTGTGTGTGTGTGTGTGTGTGTGTGTGTGTGTGTGTGTGTGTGTGTGTGTGTGTGTGTGTGTGTGTGTGTGTGTGTGCGTGTGTGTGTGTGTGTGGCCGAGAGAGAGCGTGTGAGCGTAAGTGACCACCGCAAGCCACTAGATGTAAGCGTAACAGAGATGGTCTTGGGGCGGTCAATGAAAGGGGTCTTAACTTGCTGGTTTATTTCTGATTTCATATTTACATACTTTCCTTTCGGGTTCGACAAATGGTTCAAGTAAAATCCTTGCGGGTTGCCAAATTGTTGTTCCCCTGACTCTATTCTCGTATCTATCAAGAGACGGTTTGGTAGTTCAAGATGTCCTTGCGGACGCTATCGCCGTCTCCCTCTCCTATTTTCCTATTTTCCTTCTTTAACTTTGTGAACATAAGCACAATATGAAAAAAAGACGAAAATAACGAAAATTCAACTTTAAAAACTGCAAATTATGAAGCAAAAAATTGGCTTGTAGCATTTAACACTTTCTCTTCTCTGTCATTTTTTCTTCTCTCACTATTTGGCCCATTATGTGTTATTCTGGTTCCTGATATCTGAAACGGATGGGCGGTTCTCCTCGCCCCCCCCCCCCAAGCCAGCGTCTCGGATACTTAAGGCCGCGTTTCGACTGGTCAGGCAAAGTTTGCCCTGGCGCGATCAAGGTCACGTCTGACCGGGGCTGGGCTCGCCAGTGACCCCGGGTGACCCTCCAGCCGACCGCCCAATACCCAAGTGTCATATTGTGTTTCAACTCCGTGTGCTTGCTAGCTCTATCAGTAAGAGAGTTTTAAGCCACTAAGCTTTTATACTTCCCTGTCACCAATGTTAGAGGTCCCTTCAATAACCCTTACACGGATGTTTATTCCTGTGTGAAAAGAGAAAGGAAGGCAGCACCTGTGTCCTGCCCAAGGAGAAAGGCAGCTGCTTGGACCGAGGTGTGAATCTTCCATCCGGTCTTGCTACGTATTGTTCACAGAGCGCCTGTAACCTCAAGGACGAGTCGGGCGACCGCTCGGGCGCTCCGGAGGCTGAGGCCGAGGCGCACTGAACCCCCGAATCCCTCAGGCCGAAGGAGCTCTAACCCAGGGGGCAGAGCGGCGGTTGCGCCTGCCTCCCCCTCCGTGTCCCCGAGAGGTATGGATCAATAACAAAACAAAATAAGAATAATAGAATAAAATAAAAAGAAAAATATAACATAAATGAAATGAAATAAATTAAAAACAGAAAAGGAGAAAAGTGAGAATAATGGTTAATGGTTAAAAGCAAAATAAATGTGCTAGACATCTAAGGTCATGTAGCACTATAGTAAATGTTAGTGAAGCGTGGTTAAGTTAGTGATTAGTTGTCGTATATAGATGAATTATGATCTTCCATATACTTTCCAGGTTCTGCGAGTATATTTAGTTTATTAAAATTATGTTTTAGAATTATATATGTAGTTTCATTTAGTGTATTCAGGTATTAGGATTGTATATAGATTTACTTAGTTTAGTTTTATTTCTTTTTATATTACTTTCATGGAAATGTATAAAACGCAAGTAATGTCTTATTTTCATTTATCAAAAACCCAACCCATTACCAACACTTTACATATCCTCACCAAAATTTACCTCACACAAAGCATCATGAATAATTATCCATAATTAAACACAACGCCATCAATATTTTTGTTGTAAATATGATTCGATATATATATATATATATATATATGTGAATGAGGAAAACACTCTACCGTGTTGATACTATGGTAGAAAAACCCACAATGTAAAAACTAGATTAGTTGAAAATTAAAGTGAGACGACAGTTTCGGAATCCACCTGGATT